TCTGCCAGGTGGCAGTTGTCATCTGGAAAGTCCCAGCCGCTCCCTGGCAGGCAGGTCATCTGAACCGGTGATCAGCCCGGATCGCTTGTGGCATGAGCATTAGTCTGAGGTTGAGATGGTTTCGGGTACGGGCTACCCCCTTTCCCCTTTCAAAATGCCCTGCCTTGGCCCCCTCCCACTCACAAGCACCCAGCTGCCTTGGCTGGGTGGAAGAGCACTTGGGGGTGCCCATGGGTGCTCCTGTGATGGCCTCAGGCAGCACCCCAGCTCTGGCTGGCATTGCCCCCCGGGGCCTTCTCAGCTGCTGGGCTGCTACACTTTCTAACAAACTGGCATCGGGGGGATGTTTTTGTTGAGAAGTTGTGCTGTAATTCACAGCAGCTGCTTCTTCACTGCCAGGAGATGGGTGAGACCTGAAGCCAGGCTCCTGCCCAGCCGTCCCCAGGCCAGGCTTTGGTGAGGGGGAGGCCTGAGGTCACCCACAAATACAAGGGATTAAAAAAAGCAAATAGCACCTTGCATGCGAGTATTTCTTCTCCTCGTACTTTGCTCCTAGCCTGGTGCATGCCTGGCTGTTCCCCGTGCCCCAGTATGGGAAGCCGTGCCGTTGGCAGCTGGTTTTTCTGGCTGAGCTGGAGGGCAGAGCAGGTCCCTGTCTGGCTGCTGGGACTCATCCCCCCTGGTGCTGCCCAAACCTCCCACCAGCTGCAGGTTAAAGCTTTTGGAACTGCAGACACTGCCCCTCCCCAAACAGCCCCCCACAACCCTTTCTGCCCCCCAAAAAATATCCTGAGGTGAGCAGGATGCCCTGATGACAGTGCCCAGATCCATGCTGGCAGGGGTGGATGTTCTGAGCTGGGTCTCCATCCCTCCTGGGATGCAGCAGCAGGCAGCTGTGACCTCCTCAGGGACTCCCGCATCCCGCAGGGCTGAGAGCCAGCCCCGTGTGGGACTGCTGGTGATGCCTCCTCGCATGACACTTCTCATGGCCGTGAGTCACCCCGGCACATTCACCCCAAGCAGGGCTGGAAGGGGAAGTGTCTTCACCTGGGACACTTCTTCACTGGCTGCTGAGCAGTGAGGCAAGCACTGCCTCCACCAGCCCAGCACCCCGGACCCCAGCACGGTTGGGACCAGGGGACCACAGCACTGTCTGGAGCCAGAAGAAAGTGACACTGTGCTCCATTGCCTTCCAGGGATGCCTGGCTGGGAGGTAGGCGACTGAACAGCGGGGATGGAAGGGAGAGGACCCTACCGCATCTACGACCCTGGCGGAGGCTCAGAGGAGAATGGATCCACAGCCTTTGAGCGGCTGGTGGAGGAGAACACCCGGCTGAAGGAGAAGATGCAGGGGATCAAGTCTATTGGTAACTGCTGCGTGGCTGGGGGATGGGATTCACCGTTGGGGCAGCTCAGCCTCTGCCCCCCGAGCCTGGGGGTTTAGGAAGGGTGCTGTAAGAAGCTGGGGGTCTTGGCACTGGGGCAGCAGTAAAGCTCTCCCCATCCGGGGGGTTGAGCAGGATGTTTGGGCTTTTTCACATGGGGGTACAGAGGGAACAAGGCTTTTGCTGAACTCCTGGGGTGCTTTGTGGTGAGACAAATGGCTGGAAAAAAAGGCAAGTGATAGAGCAAGGTCAGGTCTTCAGAGTCTTGCAGCGGCAGGTCGCACATGCTGGGATCTGTTCTGCTTTTGATGAAAGCCCTCACCTCCCGCAACCCCTGTCGGATCAAGGGCTTTTCCCAGGTGCTGCTCAAAGACCCTGGTGCTGGGCACTCCCTGCAGTGGCAGGGACGTGCTGGTGTTGAAATGCTCCAACTTAGTTGTGCCATCCCCTTTGTCCTCCTTGGCCACCTTCCCCCACCCGCCCCCAGTTTTGCTTTTGGTCTCGTGACCCAGCTTCTGCTTTCGAGTCCTGCTTCTGCAGCCGAATTTCCACTTGCCTCGTGATTCCCGTCATGTCACCATGCCCCTACCTGGGACTGGGACCCGCTGGTGTGGGAGCAGCCACCTGAGGTGGGGAGAAGATCACGTTGCTGGTGCCAGACCCCAAAGCAGGCAGGCTGGACCCCTACATCCACCACCTAAGCTTAAATTCATTTCTTCTGGGAAGCGGAGGAGACCTCTGAGAGATGCAGTGCTGCTCTTTTGCCTCCTGTAACCAGTCCTCTGTGCATCAGCATGAGGGACTCTGCAGCCAGTGAGACACTGATCTAGCTTTGCTGTTGGACTTGACCAAGGAAAGTTGGTTTTGGATGAAGAAGGACCGTGCTGGGCACTTCTCCACCCAAGCAGAGGACTTGGTGTTGGTGGATGGGGCTGCTGCAGGGCAGGCACTTGGGGAAGGAGGGTGAGCATCCTTCTGTTGCCCGCAACAGGAGAGCTGCTGGAGGAGTCCCAGGTGGAGGCATCCAAGCTGCGGCAGAAGGCAGAGGACCTTGTGAAGGACAAGAAAATGCTGATGGCATCATCTTCCTTGGAGGACCTGGTGGAAACCGGAGGTAGGAGACGTGAGGGTCACTGGGGGGGAATAACCTGATGGCTCAGGATCCTGAGCTCAGGGGAAGGGAAAGGGTGTGAAGGAGACTTTCATGAAGGTTTTTTGCAGCCCTCTAATCTCTGGAGTTTATCAGACCATGCTGTCCTCCCTTCTCCTGGAGGGAGGTTTCTGTCCAGTCCCTATAGCTGGGGTAGAAACCATCCATCGGTGCCCGACCTTGCAGGGTGTCTGCTCTCTGCGTCCCCGTGCCAGGCGGGGAGAGGCCCTGCTCTCCAAAAGGCTCACGGCTACATCCTCTTCCCTCTCCGCAGCCGTCAGCCCTGATCCCAGCTCCACACGGGCTGCCCTGGGCAGTGCCCAGCCGGACACGGAAGCACGAAAATCTCCTCCAAATGTGAGTCTGGTGAATGCAAGAGCTGGTGCTGGCATTGCTGGAGGGAGAGACTATCCACCTAAAGTAAAAGGAGGCAGCCTTTAGCCTCTAGAAATGGGGATAAATCGGAAAGGAAGGGTCAGCTTCCCTGCTGTGGTCCCTGCCTCCATGTGGTGGGCATCCTGGGTTACCATTCCCCGGGGGGACCTGACCTGGCTGCCTCCCCTTCCAGGGATCCTCCTCGGAGTTTGAGATCGTTGCTGTGGAAGCACAGGGGTTTTCCCAGGAGAGCGGGAGAGCGGTGAGTGGCCATGGTGCCTGTGGGATTTGGTGGGTGGCAGGTGGAGAGTTGGTTGGTGTGGTGGTGGTACCAGGGCCGTGGGAGGGTGTGCAGACAGGCAGCGGTGTGCCCCGGTGCTGTAGCTGCCGGCAGGGCTGGGGGACCTGTGTCAAGGCATCCCTTGAGCAAACCACAGGGGAGGGATAAACTGCACCCGGGCGTTCCCAGGGAAGCAGAGCCAGCCCCAAGTAGAGTCCCCAGGACAGCACTTGTGCTGCGGTGCCCAGCCTCCACCAGTGATGAAGATGAGGGAACCTGACCGGTCTGCAAGCAGGAGGGAACCATGCAGCATCATGGCTGGTCCTCTCCATGTCTCGCTGGGGCTGGAGGACTCGGGATTGATGGCACTTGTGCCCCAGTGTGTACCGCTCTCCTCGCCTGGCCGAGGCAGGGAGAGGGGACAACATGCAGGCTGTCCTCCAAGTGCAAGGGCTCCCGTGTACAAGTGGCCTGGCCGGGCTGCTCGGGCACAGGGCCGGCAAAGCAGCCCCGGCCAGATGAGGACATCAGTGTCTCCAGATGCCACTCAACAGTGACAGGAAGGGCTGTGATGACCTGAGGAGCTGTCAGCAATGCTCTGATGCTCACGTCCTAGTGGCTGCACTGGGTGGGAGGACCAGGTCTCCGAGCCCCATCATTGCTGACAGGGTCTGTCCCAGCTGACGCACCTCCATTTGCTGCCACCTGAATGTGCCCCCGGCTGGCACTGCCCTGTCCTGGCTTCTTGTGTGTGCTGGAAGGAAGGAGAGGAGGGATGGGAGCCCCATGGGAGATGAACATCAGCTTGCACCACACAGTGCCAGTAAGGGGACATGCTTCCGTTGCACATCCCACTTTGCATTGACCAGGGAGGCTCCAGGAGGGGTTGAGTCTTGTTGGACCCTCATGGGGTGGCATCTGCTTGGCGATCAGCTGCTGGCACCTGAGCCGAGTGCCAGTCCCATGCTAACACCCAGGCACTCCAGCTGGGCTGGGGTCCTCACTGCCTCCCCTTGCCAGCCAGCACTGGTGGGAGGAACCGGCCATGCTGTGCCCCACACACACCCTCCCATAGCAGTTTCAGGGCTGTAAGCCCTGGGGCTGGTGCACCAGGGACACGCTGGGCTCCTGGCCCCACGCTGTGTTGCCCGGGGCATTCCCACGGGCGGCAGGCTGAGTCAGCGGGGCTGGGAGCGGAGCGGGCAAAGGTGTGCCAGCGCATCCCCACCTCCTCCCTGGCAGTGCCGCATGTGCGGGGCTGGGCTCTGTTGTGCTGGCAGTGTCTCCTAGGCAATGGAGGAGTTAACCGGCCACACCAGGGGAGGACAAGACTGTTGGGGCCCACCCTCATGCGTGGGTGGG